GGGTAAAAATGAAAAATACATAATTAATAAAAAGTACAATTAATAAACTAAGATTAAATTGGAGGGATCTTGACCGTCGTTATTCATCTCTTCCTTTGATTAACGTCCATCGTCGGATGTCCACATCAGTATATTAAAAGGAAGGATGAAGCTCAGAGAGAAATTTTGCCCCACATCAAAAAAATCTCGTTCCATTATTGCTAGATGATTGATCACTCGTAAATAAATGACTTGTATCAGATAGGTTCATTTCACTTTCCTCGTAAGTATTTTATTATTCTCTGATAGGCAAAACATATTGTTGAGGAGACAATATCTTAGAGTGTAGATACTAGAGATGTTATTTTCATTGAACTAGTTGGAACACACTAAATCCCACATTTTCTTTTTAATGCCTTGGAACATGAAAATCGATGCAATAAATGTTTCAAGACTGTCGAGAAAACTATTCAGAACAGCATAATTAGATATTTGCCATTTGAAAATGATAGGTACCACTTGAATATTCCAAGTGATTCCTATCGGATCTTCGCCAAATCACCAATATTTCACTGTTTTCAATAGAAAACAGCCACCAACAATGGAAAAGCTGAGAGAAAAGGGAGAAAACTTTGGAAAAAACAATAGCAAACAATTGTATTCCCCTAGTAGACGATCAAAACCAAAGCAAGATACAATGTTCTTCAATTCGAGAGGAAGAACAACTCTCTAACAATCTCCGGCAACGCCAAGAGCCCAAGCAAGAAAACCTAGAACACAAAACTCTTTTCAAAATCAAGATGCCACCCTAATCCCCTCATAACTCCCTATTAATACAATCTAATTCAAATTAAAAGCAAAAGGACTTCTCTACCCTTCTTTCTCCCTCCAAAAACACTTAAACCATGTTTGAATTGCAAGTGGACCCCACCCCAAGCCCCTTTCTCCCTTCCGCCTCTTCTCTGTGCCGCCTCCGCCTGAAGAAAACCCGGACCGGCTGGGCCGGTCCAGGTTGGGCCGGTCCAGGCTGGACCGGCATAACAGAAAATTTGATGGAAACTCATCAAGATGATAAGGTTTTCTATGAGAATCAACAACAAAATGGAAAACTCTCTACCACAGAATATGGTACAATTAAATTTGATGATGATATTGATGATAAAAGAGGGCTTTGTCTTTGGAAAAGGAGATAGAGAAGCCCTGACAACATTAATTATGGATGTACTAAAAATCTATGAGAAAATTAGGTCATTCGGATGAGTGAAGGACAAAAAGGTGGCCCATAAGTAGGAAGAAAGAGGTAAATGAGATAGCAAGTTTGGACTACAAGGGTGGCTGCCTCTGTTGTGTAGGGCATTAATTGATGCTAGTAATAGCGAGGGAAGCTACAGATATGAGCGAGCTCATCCATGAGCAGGAGTGAGCTACGTTGCAGCTGGCAAGTGTGTGTAGCACGGTCATAGGCATGCCTAAGCAAGGCAACAATCAGGACGACAGTGAGCTAGCGAACAGGGTTTTATGAGCATATGTTATAGGAAGGAGACGAGGAAGGCATGATTGCTAGGCTATGATTAACTTTGCTTTGATACGATGAGCTGAGTGAGTGAGTGAAAACGTTTGTATGAGCATATGTGATAGGAAGGAGAGGAGGAAGGCACACAATTGAATAGCGGAAACTTTGTTATATTCAATTGATTGAGAAGAGTGCTAATATATAAGAAAATAGGGTAAATACAAAACTGACATGAAATACAGTGGAAAATACCCTCAATTATGTAGATAAAAACATACTTATAAACATTTCTACAACTAACTAGCTAACTAGGGCTTTCCTAAAATACTATTTTCAATGTTGTACTTTCTAATACTTTAGAGCATTATAAATCAAGATTACAGTCTTGATTAGTATTTTAAAGCTAAAAAATCTAATTTGTAAGATAAATGATATAGTCCAATTGAACCTATTCCGGAGAGAAAGAGGCCTAACCTACAAATAGGAAAACTTAGTTTGTTTTTATCCAACTTTTTTTTTTTTCAAATATGTTTTATCAAGAAGGTTGGAGTAGCTCCAGTAGAAGATAAGATTAGAGAGAGTCGCCTTAGATGGTTTGGTCACATAAAACGGCGGCCTTCTAATAACCCGGTTAGGAGAGTAGAGGTATTAGATTTGACTTATGTTAAGAAAGGTAAGGGTAGACCTAAAAAGACTTGGTTAGAAAATATTAGAAATGACCTTTCTTTATTAGATTTAAATGAGAATTTGACTTTTAATAGGACACAATGGAGAAAAAGGATTCATGTAGCCGACCCCACGTAGTGGGATAAAGGCTTGATATTGTTGTTGTTGTTGTTGTATGTTTTATCAAGAAGGTCCAAAAGTTTAAGTCAAGAACATAATTTCAAAATCATCATAGTTAGGCAATAATAGAAGTTCATTATATTTTTTAATCGTAATTACCCTCCTAATGGAGTTTAAATTTCATTAATGTATGACATTGATAGCATGCTTTCATATAGCCCTAGTTTCTCAAACCAAATGATGTTTTATCTGCATAGCTAGCCTTCTCTTTAAATTAAGAAGAATAAACTTGAATTTTGTGAAATGGTTTTGAAGTAGGATTTGAATTAATGATTAATTTAATGCTTGCTTATTTTTTTTCCAAGCTTGATTGCTAGTAAGGCAACCATAAAATCTATTGAAATTTAATTTTTAGCTATTTGAAATTTATAGGTCATGTTCGATTAGCATGTATTTTTGTATGAAGTTTTCACAATCATAAATTATGATAAAGGAAAAGCTTGTTGTGCTTGTATGATTGAAGCTTGTGTTATATATATACACACGCGCGCGCGCGCACACACATAGCAATATTTTTTCTTTTGTGAGGATAAATTCACTTTTCTGATTGTTTGCTTTATCTCATTTATCTATTAAGTAATGTTTAAATTGTAAATCAAGAGTTTTGTTTTATCTTAGGGGTCGTTTGGTTGCAAACATTTCTAGTGTTAAGTAAAATAAAATGTAGGGGTTTGTAGTTTTAGGTGTTTGGTTTGAAGAAAAGCTAATGCATAGTAAAATTTTGAGGTATTTGAAATTCCTTATCTAGTTCATTTTCAATGTATTTGGAAGTCATTCGATTTTGACAAATTTCAAATACATTGTAAACATGAAGCTTTGGTTTCTACTGCTGGCTGCACGCAAATGTCGTTCCCCATCGCTACCCACTCGTGGGTAGTGGTCATCGTCAGTTACTGGCCATCCCCGCCAACATTTGCTGTAGTCAGTTGCAGCCATCAAACACTGACCACCACCTTCTCTACTTTGGCTATCGCAGCTGATGTCCATCTCCACTACCATTGGCTGCTATAGCCATTGCTCGCTATCGGAGTTGATTGATTCCTTATTTCAAATATTGGTTTCACTTTACAGACAGCCAAATGCAAAAAAGTAAACTCAACCTTTTTTACAAGCAATCAAACTCTAGCGAATTATTTTAATTATATGATTTTATTTTACCTTGTATTTTGAATACTTTAGAATTCTAAGTAATTGCAACTCAATGACACCCCCTTAATCTGAGAGACGAAAGCAATGTGCATGAAGTTTCTTGAAATCTCATTGAGATTAATTCATTTATTAAATATGTAGAAGAATCCCCATATGGAAGTTCAATACAGTGAAGAAATGATTCATATATTTTGTGGTGTAGGATTACTTATATGAAATTGTTAATGTGATGTGCAAATGGTTAGACTTGAGTTTTATTTTGTGTAAAAAAAAAAGCAAAGCTCTTTGGCATATGGTTAGTTCGAGAGGCAGTTTGTCAAAAACATAAAGCTTATGTAACTGTAATGAGTAACCAGCCCAAGCATTATTTTTTAATTGAATTTTAAAATAGTCAACAAAGGTATGGAACCATCTTTTTTTATTAAAAATGATTTTTCCATCAACTCAAATTTACTGAATGAAGTTTGTTTTCATTATCCCATTAGCAAGTCTACGAAAATAAGGTAGTGTTTCTGTCTCCTTCTAGAAGCTATTATGGATTTCTGGTGTCAATAGATTCTATCCGCATGAACTTGGCATCCAAATGTGATAAAATATATTATATATTCACATTGAATTGCCAATAATTTTTAGAAGATGAACTAGTCGTTGCTGAAGTTACTTAACATCATCATCCTTGTCATCTTTATTTTTTTAATACCCTTTTGCTCTTCTTTATATATCTTGTTGCACATGTTGTACTATATCCTCGGCATCCTCTCAAATGATAGGCAATCTTGATACTTATGGTTGTTGGGTCTTTATGAGCTCAAGAGAATCAAATTTAATTGGCCTTCCTAGACTTTATCCCTGTTGACCCCATGAACCTGTATTGGATGTTGGGCCTTGATGATAATAAATATTCTAGGGAATTGGCTTAATGGTTTGCTAATCATTGTGTATATTTATGGGAAAACCGCTTGAATCTATGTGTTGTATGGATGTTTCTGTAGTTTAGGAAATTTTAATGTGCTCTTGATATATAAGATATACTTGAACGAGAAATCAAAGCAAGCTAAGTCCTTAAGATATAAGAAAGCTAAAATAATAAATTCACATATTTTATTATATTATATATTTCAAATATTAAGTTATATATTTTTATAATATGCTAAATAACTATTTGAAGTATTAACTAAATAGAGTTTGCAAAAATATTTAAAGACAATTCTAAAAATTGATATAATTTATTGGCCTCTTTGCAAATTTAATGGGTCTTTGTAAACTCTTGGTTCCTCCATAAAAGGTTAACAGGTCTCTACAAAGGCCTTTGTAGGCCTCTGCAAAGTTTCTTGGGTGACCGCAAGCCCAAACGTTGAAATTAATTATTAAACAAAATCAATCCGTTTAAGACAAGGGAGTATTTTAGGATTTAATCTATAAAAACGTTGCACTTATCTGCCAGGTAAGTTAAATGTTGCGCACTGGTTTAAATCAATATCTTGCTTAATATTTGCATGTTATTTGTTTTCAGATCACTGAATTATTGATCAACATCTCAAAGCATTCTTTGATGCCAAAGCATGAAATATTGAAAGATGAAGAAAAGCAAAATCTTTTGCAGAAATATAATGTTCAGGATCACCAGGTACTTCGAAATTCATGAATGCTATCCTTTTTGAAAATTAAATTGTGACAGTTTTTTATTTCCTTTTGTGCTTTGACGTATTCAACTATTGGCTATTAGGGGTGCAAGTGAGCCGAGCCAGTTCGAGCTCGACTCGTTTATGAGCTAATGAGCCGAGCTGCTCATGAGTCGAGCTTGAGCCGGCTCAGCTCGTAAGCTCGCAAGCCGGCTCAAATAATTATTAAATATAAATATAAAAAAATATTAATTGTTATGTAACACTGCATGCATTTCAAAATTATCACGTACCCAAAAATTTTTTTATTTCTCAAATCCCGCGTATATTTCAAAGTTCCCTCTCTCTCTCTCTCTTCTCTCTCATGATCTAAACCAATGTTTTAAAAACCGGACCGGACGGCCTGTTCGACCAGTTCAACCGTGAACCGGTCATAGGACCGGTCCGGTTCAGTCTTAAAATCGCCTCTGCAATGAATCGGTTAGAACTGCTGGTTCAACCGGTGAACCGGCCGGTTCAAATTCCAAGAAATTTAAATATTTTTTAAATAAATAAATTAACATATATTTAAAATTTTAAATTAATAATAATATATCTTTTATTATAAAACATTTATCTCTAAATCATCATGAAACATTTCACATTGAGTGGTGGTACCATGTGAGCTCTTAACACTAGCAAGAAAGTCTTTCCAAGTGATGTGGGACTAAAGAAAAGAGTTGAGATGTGAATGAACTCATAACATATATAATGCATATAAAAACTATTTTTAAACAGATTTTTTAATTAATTATTTTTTATGTAAATGATACTTATTTATTAGTTAATAATAAAAATTTATTTATTTATACACTATAAAAATAATTTATCATTAATAATTTTATGTATTTAATTATTTATTAATTATTTAAGATATAAATTTATAAAAGAAATTTGGTATACAACATAAACATGTAAAATATATTTAATCATATATAAATTTAATTTACATTAAAAATTAAATTTAAAATTCAAAAAATATTTAAATTTAAAATTATCATTTTTTTATGAGAGTAAATTCTTATAAATATGAGTTTTATAATTTTTTTCTTTTATTTGAGATTTTAATATAATTCTTTTACTTAATTATATAAATTTTATGTTTCATAGTTTTTTTTTTAATTTAATTTTTTGTCTCAAACTTTGAATGATAACATTATTATTATGTTAATTTTATTAAATTTTAATAATTTTATTATTTGTTACGTCATCCGGTTCGACCCCGGTTAGACCGGTTGAATCGGTCGAACCGTGAACCTCTCCTTCTGGTTCGTTGTCCGGTCCAATTTTCACAACCTTGATCTAAACAGCTCTGCTGAATAATAAATGTAAATGGCTGAATAAAGGATGATGTAAAAGCTGAATAATAAATGCATTTAGTCATTCATTTGGCAGAATGTTTTTGTTTCTCTCTCTCTCTCTATATCTCGTTTTAAAAAGCCGCGCCTCTCTCTCTCATTTTAAAAAGCCGCGCCATACTTGAACTCGGTGAACCAGACTGTGCAGAAGGTTTGATGAGCGGCTCGAACTCGTTTATAATGGAACGAGTTGAGCTCGAGCTCGACTTTTGAGCTCGAGCTCGAGCTCGGTATTTGACAGTTGAGCTCTTCTCGAACACCCCCTGGCTCGACTCGACTCGACTCGTTTGCACCCCTATTGGATATTGGTGACATTTAGTGTTTGATTGTCAATGGCTTAAGCAACATATCTTTTGTTTACAAACAAGCTGGAGTATTCATGCTCCCAGTACCTTTGATCTAAATGAATATAGGGTATCTTATTCTGGTTGTCACTTTTGTCATTTTGATCTTTAGAAAGATATGTATTTGGTTATATGCAACGTATTTCTACCTTTTTAAAGAATTGTAATTACTCTCACCAAGGAATTATTATTTTCCTTTTCAGTGAAAGCAGATTGGTTGATCACCAAGAAATGGCTTTTTCTTGTTCTTCAAAACTTGAATTTCTTGTTCTTCAAAACTTGGATTTCTTGCTGTTCAGGAAACCTGGGTTGCTTTGTTTTTCGAGAAAGAAGTTCAAGCATTTAAATTCACCTCCGTCTGACCATTTGTCTGGGGGTGATAAGTTGTACTCCGCTTCAGGATAGCCCCCTCATCTTGAATAAGTCCCTCTAGAAGTGGCTTAGAAAGATCTTGTCTTGATCGGACACAATGGCCTTGGGCATGCCATGCAAACAGACCACCTCTCTAATAAATGCGGCTGCCATCAGCACCGCGGTGTATGGGTGGCATAAGGGAACAAAATGAGCATGTTTGCTCAATCTATCCACTATCATTAAACTCGCCTAGGTAGTACCTTCATAAATTTCATATTCACCTCTTTCTACACCTTCTTGGGTAATGCTAAAGGTTGTAGAAGACCACTTGGAGCCATTGCCCCTACTCTGACACACTTCACAATTGGCCACCAGCTCCTCTACATCCTTTTGCAGGCCCACCCAGCATAGCTCCACTACTTGTATATGATATGTCTTCTAAACTCCAAAATGTCCCCCAATAACTGTGCTTTGAAACTTCTGCAATAAGGGATGTGTGGCGATGTCCTTGAAAGCACAAACCGTCCCTGATATAGCAGCTTTTGCCCCATCAAAAAGTAACCAAGATGGCTATCTTTGTCTTGCAGTAAGTCTCCTATGATGTTACTCAGCTCCTCATCCTGCACACTCTCATATGCTTCAAGGCATCCCAATTCACCACCATGGGAATACATAGAGCCATAACATGAGAGTCTTCACTATTCCTGGAGAGAGCATCTGCAACTTTATTTTCTAGCCCGAGCTTGTACTAGATTTCAAAATCATAACTTAATAACTTGGAAAGTCTCCGTTGATGCTCCTATGTCACCATCTTCTGCTCTAACAGGAACTTCAAACTTCTCTGGTCAGTCTTGACTATGAAATGTCTCCCCAACAGGTAAGGTCGCTACATCTATATTGCCAACACTATCATCATCAGCTTCCTTTCATATGCTGATTTCAGCCTGACCCTAGCAGGCAATATGTAGCTGAAATAAGCTTTTACTTTGCATGAGAACTGCTCCCAATCCATCGCCTGATGCATCATTCTCCACTACAAACGGCTGGTTGAAAATTGATAGTGCTAACACTAGGACACTCATCATGGCTTTCGTCAGCTGCTTAAATTAAAATATTTGTACTAAAATTCTATTTTAAAAAGCAATAAAAATGCCATCCCAAACGAAAATCTTAATCTGACAAACACCTTCAAAATCCCTCTGAAGTGATTTTATTTTCACTGTTAAAATGAGTGAACAATTTTTTTTTCTATCTACACATCCAAATACAATGAGAGTAAAAGTTGGGCTCAGCTTAAAATGAATAAGCATGAGGTGAAAAGTAGCATTTGGAGGTTTGTTTTTCAGCTTAACCTTGTTAAGCCATCTAAAAGCCCAGCCAACAAACCCTGCACCCTAGGCCTATTAGCATACTTAAACAAATCACATTAGCACTTTATTCATGTTGTACCAATCTGTAGCTTACACGTGTACTCCTATTTCTAGGATCTATTTATAAGCCTTGTATGTACATAGTTTCTATTCAAGAAAGCAATTCATCTTCTTCCTCCCGTCTCTTCTTCGATCACATCTGGTGCTTCGTTTCTTTATGGTATCAGAAGAGGTCCCTTTCTGAGACTATCTCCATGGCTTCCTCCGCCTCTGCCGCAGCATCCTCTCGCACGACGGCGGGCATCGGCGATACATACGATAAGCCTCTTCTATATCCCTCTCTCAAATTTATCATCTCTAATCTCAAGTCTCTCGTCCCTCATCAGCTCTCTATGGACAATTATCCAATCTGGCGGAACCAGATCTTCAAACTCTTCAAGGCGAACGGTTTCGAATCGTTTCTTGAATCCCCTCCACCGGTCTCTGTTGATCAAGATCACTCCAATCCTGAATCAGACGCATCCAAATGGCTTCTCACAGACAGAAATCTAGCCGCTGCGATCTCCTCCACCATTTCAGCTACCGTGATCCCTTACGTTATGCATCTAGAATCCAGTCACGAAATTTGGAGCTCACTTCAAACCAAATTTCAATCTGCCAATCGATCCAAAGTAATGCAGCTCAAGAACGAGCTCCAAAACATCTCAATGCGCAACATGTCGATGCAAGAATACCTCATGGAAATCAAGAAAACCGTTGACCTAATCATCTCTACCGGATGTAGCCTTGACAACGAAGACATCATACTTCATATACTCAATGGTTTACCGCCTCCCTACCAATCTTTCAAAACCGCGATTCGGACTCTGCAAACACCTCTGTCCCTTGACAGTCTTTACGCCATGCTAATAAGTGAAGAAATACACATTCGTCAAGACTCTCAATGTTTCTCCAACGCACCTGACAACCAAACTGCTCTTTACACAAACCGCGGCCGTGGTCGCCGTGGACGCGGTCGTCCACAGCAAATAAACCCATCTGGATCCAAACAGGGCTCCAAATCCTCTCTGATTTGCCAGATCTGCACTAAACACGGTCACTCTGCCGATGTCTGCTGGCACAGACACAATCCAAACTACACCACACCCTCCTCTCAGTCTACAACCAATGGACAAGCTCTGCTTGCAACAGCTGATTCGTCTTCAACGGAGTGGTATCTTGACTCAGATGCATCTTCACACATGACACGGTCATGAAAATCTTGCTCAACCGTCGATCTATCAAGGCCCTGACAATGTCATGGTCGGGGATGGAAGTTCAATTCCCATTGCGCATTCTGGCACGGGAATTCTTCCAACCCTCGAGCGTAAGCTGTTCTTATCTCATCTCTTGCATATACCTGCCATATCACACAATTTAATTTCCATTTCTAAACTTGTAATTGAAAACCAAATCTCTATTACATTTGAGCCTAACGGTTTTATGTTGAAGGACTTGCAGACTAACAAAATTCTTCTTCGAGGTCCCTGCAAAGCCGGACTCTGCCCAATTTCAATCAAGAAACCTGATGTCACTCAACTGGCCCTCGCTACCAGTCAGACAAATCATCCCAACTGGCATGAACGTTTGGGGCACCCTCACCAACGTATTCTTGATTAGATTTCGCAAGATCATCCGTTCCTGCGTATAAAGAATAACAATAGTAGTTGTACTTCCTGTAAAACGTGTAAAAGCCACAAGTTGGTTTTTCCTAATTCTGTAACTCGTAAAAGAACTCTTGCTCTGCTACATTCGGATGTTTAGGGGCCTTCTCCCATTTCCTCAAATCAAGGATCTCGTTATTACTTGTTATAGATGATCACTCTCGTTATATTTGAATTTTCTTGTTTACTTTTAAAACTGATGTTACACCAATCTTCATTAATTTCATAAACTTCATTGAGAAACAGACGGCTCGCCAAGTACAGGTGGTGCGTACCGACGGCGGTTCTGAGTTCGTAAATCAACAATTCCAACATTTCCTTCAATCCAAAGGGATACATCACCAACTCTCCTGCCCCTACACGCCGGAACAGAACGGTGTCGCCGAACGCAAACACCGACACATCGTCGATACTGCCAGGACGCTGCTTCACACCGCGTCTATGCCTCCCAAGTACTGGCCTGATGCTGTCTTAACAGCTGCTCATCTTATCAACCGAATGCCGACGCCTACGACCAACAATGTCTCTCCAATTCTGCTCATGTTTAACACCAATCCTGACTATGCCAATCTTCGCACCTTCGGATGCGAGTGCTTCCCACTTCTACCGAAGCACTCTAGGCATAAACTGCAACCCAACTCTGTATCATGTGTCTTCCTCGGCTACACCAGCAATTATAAAGGCTATAAATGTCTGAACAGAGAAACTAACAGGATTATCGTTTCTCGTCATGTTCAATTCATTGAAACATCTTTTCCCTTCTCTAAAACTCATCAACCTCATAAACCATCTCAAACGGTTTTTCCTCCATCTTTTCTAATACCGCCATCCACTTTATAGCAAGTTACCTCAAGCCAACATATCGTTAGGGGTGTAAGTGAGCCGAGCCGGCTCGCGAGCTGGCTCGAGCTCGACTTGTTAACGAGCTCGCGAGCCGAGCTTATCGAGCCACGAGCTCGAGCTCGAGCTCAAAATCGAGCTCGTTTATCAATCGAGCTCTAGTTCGAGGTTGACGTGGCTCGACTCGTAAGCTCGCGAGCCGGCTCGAAACTATAATATTTAAGGTATTTTAAAGAAATTAATGGCAGCCGACGTATAATATGAGATTCAAACTTTGCTTTTAATGTTAATTTATATAAATTCATTGCATCGTTTCAAGTGAAAGCTACTTTTTATTAAATTCATTGCATCCTTTGCAACTTGCCATTATGACAGCTTTTTAATATGGCAGCCTTTTCCCAAAACAAAAAAAAAAACATGGCATCCATTCATAGGCGGGAAAAAAAGTGGCAGAAAAATTAAAAATTCGGATGGATGAGAAATCGAGCGGCTCGCGAGCCGGCTCGAGCTCGTTTATAGTTTAACGAGCTCGAGTTCGAGCTCGTTTTCTGAGCTCGACTCGAGCTTGAGTTCGAGCTCGTTTTCCGAGTAACGAGCTGAGCTCGATAATGCTAAAACTCGACTCGTTTACACCCCTACATACCGTGGACAAAGCCTCGTCGAAGCAACTATCGAGCAATCACACCTCACCGCTCAACTCTCATACCAGCCCTCCGCATACAAGTTCCCCAACGGACAACGATTTCATAGCTCTCCCAGCAACTCAGCGGCTAGGCATCCAATGATAACTCGTGCCAAAACCGAATACATGCTAAAACCCACAACTCGCTTAAATCTGCTCCACAACGAGATCTCTCAGCAGGATCCCACCAACTACATTGAGGCCAACAGACTACTTGAATGGCGCAATGCCATGACTTTCGAATTTCTTGCACTTCAAAAGCAGGATACATGGCAACTGGTACCTGCTCCTTTGAACAAGCAAATCTTGGGGTGCAAATGGACGTACCGTAAGAAACTACACGCCGATAGAACTGTTGCTCGGTTCAAGGCGCGGATGGTAGCACAAGCAATCAACAAAAATTTGGACTCGACTATGTCGAAACCTTCAGTCTGGTAGCTAAACTAACCACCATTCGCGTACTATTCACTATCGCTCTCCATCAAGACTGGAAAATACACCAACTAGATGTCAAGAACGCCTTTCTTCATGGCGACATTCAAGAAATTGTCTACATGAGGCAGCCCAAAGGATTCGAGGATCCTGCCTATCTGAATCACGTATGCCTTCTACGGAAAGCATTATATGGCCTCAAACAAGCTCCGAGGCAATGGTATACAACGTTCTGCAATCATCTCTTTAGTCTTGGATTCTCTCCGAGCAAGGCAGACCCATCTCTTTTCACATTTCATCAAGGTCACACCAAAATGTTCTTACTCGTATACGTGGACGATATACTCATCACCGACAACGACGAAGATGCCATCTCCGCGTTTCTTCATCAACTCAATCAAACTTTCGTGCTAAAACTCCTTGGCTCTGCGAACCACTTCCTCGGCATATGAATCCAATATAAGCAAGATAAGTACTTTATGTCACAAGAATCGTATGCTATATCTATCATTCAACAAGCTAATCTCATTAACTGCAACTCCGCAGCAAATCCTTCCTGCACCAAACTCCCAGTCGACACTGCAATGGAGTCAGCTACGTTGTCCGATCCCATGACCTATCGGAAGATCACCGACGCGTTGCAATATCTCACTATTACTCGCTCGGATATTGCATACGCTGTCAATACGTTATCTCAGCATATGCACGCTCCACAATCAGATCACATCTTTCTCCTCAAGCGCCCATCCGGTACATCAAGGGAACAACGAAGTTTGGTCTTCCGATCAAGAAATCAGATCTCCATCTCACCACCTACTCCGACGCCGACTGGGCAAGTGATCCCATAACCCAAAAATCAACTTCGGGATACTGCACCTTTCTTGGCAGCACGCTGGTGTCGTGGACAGTTAAGAAACAAACAACAGTATCCCGTTCATCAACGGAATCGGAGTACCGGGCTATCGCCACCGCCGACACTATATGGCTCAAACGTCTGCTTTCCGATTTCTTTATTACCCATAACGACCCTGTTGATCTGCATTGTGACAATACCTCTGCCATCGCATTAGTGATCAATCTCGTGTATCACGCTCGAACCAAGCACATCGAGATTGACCATAGATTCGTCCGGGAACACATTAGCAACAATCATCTCCGGCACATTCCAATCAAAACCGAAGATCAGATAGCTGACATATTCACTAAGCCGTTGTCTATGCCGCGCTTCAAAAAGCTCAGGGACAAACTCACAATCAGCTCATATCTGTTCGTTTGAGGGGGGATATTAGCATACTTAAACAAATCGCATTAGCACTTTATTCATGTTGTACCAATCTGTAGCTTACACGTGTAACTCCTATTTCTAGGATCTATTTATAAGCCTTGTCTGTACATAGTTTCTATTCAAGAAAGCAATTTATCTTCTTCCTCCCGTGTCTTCTTCGATCACATCTGGTGCTTCGTTTCTTTAAGGTCTCCCTCCCAGCTTAACTTCTCAGCTTTTATATAAATATAGCAATCAAACGGGGCCCCTAATAGCAATGATTTGGTCAGGGCACCTTTTTCATCAATTAATAATAATATTGTTATTATTTAAATAAATATTTGTTTGATTTATTTTTTATTTTAAAAATATATTCATAATGGGATAAATATATATATTTTTATAACGGGATAAAGATTTATTATTATTGTTGTAGTATTATTTAATGTGTTTTTTTGACTAGTTTAATCTTTGTTTTTAATGATTTTTAAATAATAAAAATGGCTATAAAGTGTTTTTAAAAACAAACACTGGTGGCATCTGTCAACACCTTTGAGCGCTATAGAAAAACGAGAAATTATTTTGTACGGACGTTGAATATCGTTTGGAGACAAATCAGAATAAGCCATGTTGGTACCGCGACTCGGTATTGCTAACGTGACTCATTCTGATTGATCTCCGTACGTAGAGTTGTGTTCGGCGTGTGGACAGAATAATGTTTTCAGAAAAGCACCTCTACTATTTGAGCCACCGCTGCCATCAGCAACCATCATCACATAAATTTACTTATTTGATACCTAATAAAAACAAACAATAATCTGTAAAATTGACAATGGATCCTAGAAGACCCGTAACATTTGAACCCTCACAATTTCATTTTATTTCGCCTACAATAATCTGTCTTTGACCTAATATTTCCCCTTCTTTTGCTTGTTATTTGTGTCTTCCAAAATTTAAAAAATATTGGATTTTGCAGCTACCTCGCATGCTGGAGAAGGATGCCGTTGCGAGATACTTTGGCCTGGAGAAGGGAACCGTTGTGAAAGTCACTTATGACCGTGAAATAACTGGATCACATGAGACTTATCGCTGCATTGTATAGTACCTATCTCGATTCTCGACTGACTGATCAGGTGTTCTCGTCCAATTGCTTTGTATATAGTAGCACTGAACAAAGCTAATGTCTGATTTTGGAACTTGATTTATCGTCTTTTTCATTCATGGCTTCTTGATAAATGGTAGGACAACCTAATTCACTTATGTAATGTTCTTTTTTAGTTGAGTTTTTTTTAAAAAAATTAATTTAGGGTGTGTTTTAGGAACTTTTATTTGGTCCGGTCACAGGACGTAGCTCTACGTTCGGCCGCCAGTAGAATCGCGCCACGCGTTCTCACTATTTACCGCGCGCCCCGACAACCCGACCCGGAATGGACACAGGATGGCTCGATATTTCTTGATTTTGCTAGGTATTGCTCGGTATTACTCAGTATTGCTAGGTATTGGTCGATTTTGCTTGGCAATAACCAATACCGAGCAAATACCGAGCAATACCGAGCAAATACCGAGTTTTTCTAGGTATTGGTACAACTCGGTATTGCTAGGTTGATCGATTTTGTTTGGCAATAACCAATACCGAGCAAATATCGAATAATATTAAGTTCTACCAAGTTTTTTTAGGTATTGGTACAACTCGGTATTGGTACAACTCGGTATTGGTATTCTAGAAAAACTCGGTACAACTCAGTACAACTCGGTATTGGTTTTCACAGAGCGGTATTTCTCGTTATTGTCATGCAATATCTAGCAATACTGAGCAATACCGAGTAATACCTCGCAATATGCGAACATAGCATTCTCGGGTTTCGGTCCAGGTCAAGTCGTCGGGCCGCGCGTTAGAGAGTAAGAGCACGTGGCGACATGTTATTGGCGACCGAACATAGCTCTATGTCCGGTCAGAGGACATAATAATTGTTCGTGTTTTAGGCGGTTTTATCATTACTTATCTTTCAGACCGCCGCAACTGCATTTTTTTTAACTATCATTTTCCTGTTTTTTTTTTTTTTACCATATATATGTATGTATTTGGAAGCTGTTTTTGACGGAGTTGTTAATATAATAGTTTTAAGAAATCAATTATTTATTTTTTAAAGAGAAAAATGACTAAAATGATCCCCAATTATAGTAAAAGATCATTTTGATATCTCAATTTTTTAAAAATAGATCAATATAGTTTCATGGTAGATTATTTTGATTCATCCTTAAGGAATTGAGGCATCAAGATGATCTTTTAATATATTTGAAGATTACTTTGATATTTCATAGAGTCTAGGGATTATTTTGGTTATTTTTTTAAAAAATATATTATAAAAGCTTCACAATCATCTTTTGCAAAACATTATAATTGTTCTAAAAAGACTGTAAACTAGTACTTATGAGCGAATGCCTTATTTGCTATGAAGTTTAAAAGAGATGATTACGTGCAAAATCCGGTCATAGAAAATTGTTTGATTTTATGACTTTGCTGTGTTTTATAGATCACACAGACAGACACAAAAGTGAATAGTTTTTTTGGGTCCGAATGTTGCATGTAATATAATCTCTCTCAGTTTAGAGGCTATGTTTTCTTTTAAGGATGTGTAATTAGAAAATAAACAAACGGTTGCAGTACGGTAATGAGGAGAGGGGATTAGCTATGAATGTACGAGCAATTTTACAATTAGCTATTTTTGTATTGTAAATAAGTTTAGCGGATGCTTCCGGTTTTTGCAAATGATATATAGATTGTATGAGCCTAAGTTCAGCCCATTTACAACTTGTGGTTTGGCTAAATAATTTATAGAACATTCAACAAATTAATATATTATATCATATAAGATTTGGTATTATTTACTACGGAGTTATACAAGAGTCACATGAGTTTATGGGGGCTAAGCTTTTTTAACCTATTTGGTAAAACAAAATTGATATTGATTTGAAAGGGATAAAATAGTAAGAAGCATGTGGAAAACTTCCCCTAATATGAGCATAAACTATGTAAATTACGCCCCATCTATGCTACATAAATATGAACATTCATGTATTTTAACTGTCATTAAAAGATTCGATAAGAATTTTAAAATTGATATACTTTTTTAATGATATTCGTTTATGTATAATATTATAGAAATTGTAGCTAAAGAATTAAAATAATTTAGAGATGACATTTGATATGATCCTAATGGAATATCATGTCATTAATAAAATAATTATTTTAAGAACAATCTATATAGCTTCGAAAAAAATTAAAAATTGAAGTCACTTTTAAGAAATTAAAATAAAAAAATCGTATTTATCTTAAATATATTTACACGAAAAATTATTGTGCGGATCCTGGATGGCATTCAGAGACCAACTAGAACGTATCATGTCACTTTTTTTCGCTCGGTATCGATACCGGTACCGAGTGATGTAACGTATTATAGTTGGTCTCCGAACAATCTGGTATCAGCACAAAATAATTTATCCTTTTACCGATAGGAATTTTGAATTCTTTGAACTATATTTTACGAGATATTAGCTACAGCGAACTAGTTTTTAAATACTCTGAACTAACTATTATTATTAAATAGCTATTTAAAATATTACTAGAAATAATAACTAAAAATATTACTATTAATCAGCTCATACCTTCATGTAATTATAGCTGCTCACTGCTAGAAACAAGCGGTTAATTACTTTTTATACTACTTAAACACTGTCAAATAACCAAATATATTTAGTTAGCTGCTAATCATAATCAAATCACTAATAGCAATAATCACTATCTCTGATTGTTTTATGAAGAAAAAAAAATGATCATAGACATGCTCAATAAGAGAATTACCTCAGCTTCTTCTTAGGCCTCTGAAAGTTGGGCCTCAGCGGTTGACTGGAGCTTGGATGAAATGTTACTGTGGGATTTTTCTTCTGTTCACCGACCACTTTGGCTGAGATGGATGGAGAGTATTTTGGGGCTTCGAGCCTCTCAAGAATTCTGCTGGTTCTTTCATCTAATGGTTTTTCATGAGTTAGTAAAGAATTACGAGTTTTTGGCACAGAAATGCTGTTGCCAGCAGAAATGTTATCATTCATGTAATCAACAATAAGGAGCTTCTCCCACTCATCTGTAATGCAGGAAAATGCGTTCTCATCTTGGTTTGGGTTCGGACAATCTTCATTTTCTTCTTCAGATAGTACGATTACTGAGGGTTTCTGTGGAGTAGATGATTGACGATGTGGATTATCTGCAAGCTTAGGACTCGATTCGAGTGTTGTTGGTACTGATCTGGATATGCAGCGACAGGTCAATTATTGAATTCTTAAGTTGCAAAAACAGTTGACCAACAAAGGTTGATTATTACAGATGAATTAAGCTTAATTATTTATGTATGTGAATCAATTAATTGTAATAAAATAATTTAGCGAGAAATTATTATGAGCGGACACCGGACGGAGAGAATCGTTCGGATTTGCTGCGCTTTTACTGCGTTTTTGCAAGAAGGCAGCAAATATTTAATTATGAATGTATTTTTACTGCAATACTGCACTTTTGCTATCCTTCTGCAAAAATGCAACAAATATTCAATTATTAAGCAAATATTAAATATTTGCTGTCATTTTACTGCCTTTTTGCAAAAGTGCAGCAAAAGGGCATTAAAAACGTAGCAAATTCGGACGGTTATCTCCGTCCGATGTCCACACAGAATAATTAGTCAAACTTAGCAGGGCTACCTTTTATAATACGCATACTATACATAATTATAAGCATGGACCAAAAAAAAAAAAGGGTTTAAGGCCAGTGATAGAAGACAGTACTCACCCAAACTGCACGCTTTCTTTAACTAACCAGTTAAGCTGTGGATAAAGGCCCCTTTCATGTTCGAGAGGATTGTAGTCTCGAAGCTCAACCTGAGAAAAGCAAATAGCAAACTTATAAAACTAATACAAATATTGTCATTATAAATTTAAAAAATGATTCCCATACAGATTATCATTTTCCAAATGTAGTTAATTAGTGGCAAGGTAGAAGAAAATATTATATAATGGAAATGTTAGGGATAGATTATAGAACCAGAGAGGAGATCAATTTTAGCTGATGAGTGTGAGCTCACGAGTTGGTATTTCTATACTAATATATTTTCTAACTTACAATGTGAGGCTATATTTAAAATCTAACATGCCTTAATAGGAAGATCTCACCCATCAACAACTCTATCGCAAATCCACAATTGCATTACACAAATTTAATAGATATCTATCGAATTAAAGTTACGACTAGATGCTAAGAAAGATGGATATTTGGAGATACAAAACCTTATGTGCCTTGACAGTAAGATCTCTCATCAAAGACTTCACCACAAACTAGCAATTGCATTACACAAATCCAATAGATTTATAAGTATCCACCTGCTGCCACCCCCGAAAGGGTGTTTGATGGGGTGACTAATCCTCGACTCATCTAGAAGAGGCACTCACACAAGAAATCTCCTGACCCGCACTTGGTTGGACCCCACTTAAGAGGCACTACCGCTCGAGGGGAATCGAGCACGGGTTGGGAGTTACTAATCGTACTTGCCAAGCTAAGCATCGGTGGGTATAGATCTATACTGAATTAAGGTTAATATTGAATGCTGGAAATTAAAGATGGATAGTTGGAGACATAAATGCGAATAATGAAATATTGAATTTGGCACAAATTCATTGCGCAGCTATAACTTGTCAAGCCTTCGTTTTTAGTTCCTTACCCTTCATTCAAAGAAAACACACAGGAATAAAAGTCAAAATTTTAAATTATGATGCAGGATACCTTGGACAAAGAGGCCTGTATGGAGTTCTTTACTTCCTCAGATAAAGTTATTTGCTTTGTTTGACTAGAGATTGGGAAGATTTCTTCTGAACCAGCAAGCCTCTGTAGGTTCAGTAAATTCATCAATGGCAACTTATAGATCAAGGCTCCGTAAAATAACCAAAAGATGGAAAAATATTGGGCAGTCTTGGTGTACTGCATAACAGAAGAGAATGGGGGAGACAGGATGCAACAGACGAAATCAGTGACTCAATTCTCCCTCTCATTTTATCTGCCATTACACATTACAACCAGAGCACCAAAATTTTCCAAAAAAATGATATTCAAAACTATAAATAAGAAAAATAACAGTTTCCCATTAATATGGAAATTGATATTTGCATTTTCAGAAGGATGGAATAAACCATTCAAAAGATTCATAAATCGAGCTTTAATTCAAAATTAACAACTTAGGGAAAAAAAAAAAAAAAAAAGATTATGAAAATAGCTTCAACAATCTCGGGCCTAAAAGTTTCTTTAATTGGGAAAATGTTGAGCCTAGGAAAAAAAAATAAACAATGACATTTCTGCTTTATATTCAATCAGAAGCATAACAGGTTTGCCTTCCTAGGTGCATAACATGTCTTACCCAGACTCCCCAGAAAGCATGCACTTGATGTATGAGTCCTACAAATATCAATTGTGAAATCAGGAGGTGCATGAAGGTGGTTCTTGCCCCTTTTCCCTCTGAGCAGATTCTACTGTTTATTTCCATGATAATTAATAATGCTCAATGTCATCAAAACACAGAAATCAGGGTTTTAAATAACTTCCAAAGAATCAGATTTTTATTGTGTTAAAGGTACAAACTTCAGAAGCAAAATTTAAATTTACTTCACTAAGAATCATGCAGCAGAAGAAAAGCAACCCTGTAATGTGACATGTTCTTGTTCTTCTCGTTAGCGTCTTCAGTAGTAGGGATACCAGCTGAACTTTTATTATCTGATGGAACATATAGTCAATATTCCTTATTCTTCCTATTTAAATAATTGAAGATGCAGACTAAGAATTAGGGGTTCTTAACATAACTAATGTAATGCATAGTATGATTACAAAGTAAATGAAATCAAGGATTTCACAGATATAATTCAATCATTTGCACTCTTTTAAATAAAAATATACAATATTAGAATTAAAATCCAAATGATACTAAATGATTACAATAATTAGAGAAATTCAGTGAAGAACAAGAAACACAAAAAAACAGCAAGCAACAAAGTCACGAGCTCTAATAAGGCAATATCAAGCTATGTTGATGAAATAAGAACAAGAAATTTAAGTACCAAAATAAAAAAAATAAAGCCCCACACTAAAGACATTAAATAACAAAAAGTTGCACATCCAAAATACCAAAATATATACTACACTCAAAATTGCACATCTAGTTGCAAAATTAAAAAATAGAATAATAAATTTTATTTAGCCAAAAGTTTCTAATTTCATGCCTCAAAACAACTATTTGTAGATTCCTCATCCGTTAGGCTAGCAAATATGATTGATATATGATCAACTTAATCCAAATTTAAATTAAATCCCACAAGATTTCAATTTTTAAATTAAATCCTCAACCAATTGGATGGCCAACACAGAATTAGTATACAACATCCAGAGTCACCACTTAAACACACAAAACCAAGATAAGATTGGTCAACAACTTAGACATGACACTCACAAATTACCGCATTGGGGAATAGCAGTACTACTTGAGGTTTAGCATGTTCAACATTCATGCAAATGGCCATAAGCAATAGATGAGTCCATAAAAGATGGGGCAATTTTTTAAACTAAGCATCGTATTAATTATAATTAAGGGATTAACCAACGAAAAAAAAAATTTAAACTCGCCAAAGTCGCCCGTTGAATGGGCGACTTACCTATTTAGGATAAGTCGCCCATTAAACAGGCGACTTAGCTCTTTTCTTTAACCCCCGCGGGGACCCCTTTCTTGCCCTAAATCTGTGTTGCTTTCGGTGAAGAAGGATTCGGCGAGCTCGGCATATCCGCGAGGTAAGGGTGTTTTAAATAGCCTAGGAAAAACAAATAAACAATGACATTTCTGCTTTATATTCAATCAGAAGCATAACAGGTATGCCTTCCTAGGTGCATAACATGTCTTACCCAGACTCCCCAGAAAGCATGCACTAGATGTATGAGTCCTACAAATATCAATTGTGAAATCAGGAGGTGCATGAAGGTGGCTCTTGCCCCTTTTCCCTCTGAGTAGATTCTACTGTTTATTTCCATGATAATTAATACTGCTCAATGTCATCAAAACACAGAAATCAGGGTTTTAAATAACTTCCAAAGAATCAGATTTTTATATTGTTAAAGGTACAAACTTCAGAAGTAAAATTTTAATTTATTTCACTAAGAATCATGCAGCAGAAGAAAAGCAACCCTGTAATGCAACATGTTCTTGTTCTTCTCGTTAGCGTTTTCAGTAGTAGGGATACCAGCTGAACTTTTATTATATGACGGAACATATTCCTATTTCAATAATTGAAGAAGCAGACTAAGAATTAGGGTTTCTTGACATAACTAATATAATGCATGGTATGATTACAAAGTAAATGAAATCAAGGATTTCACAGATCAACAATTTCACTTTTTCAAATAAAAATATACAATATTAGAATTAAAATCCAAATGATACTAAATGAAAATAATTAGAGAAATTCAGTGAAGAACAAGAAACACAAAAAAACAGCAAGCAACTATAATTTAAATTCCACAAATTTAATTTTCAATGTGTTAATTTTTTTGAACAAAGTCACGAGCTCTAATAAGGCAATATCAAGCTATGTTGATGAAATAAGAACAAGAAATTTAAGTACCAAAATAAAAAAAATAAAGCCCCACACTAAAGACGTTAAATAACAAAAAGTTGCACATCCCAAATACCAAAATAATGAAAATGAATCAGGAAGTTATATTTATACTACACTCAAAATTGCACATCTAATCACAAAATTAAAAACTAGAAACATAAATTTTGTTTAGCCAAAAGTTTCTAATTGCATGCCTCAAAACAACTATTTGTAGATTCCTCATCCCTAGGCTAGCAAATATGATTGATATTAAGATCAACTTAATCCAAATTGAAATTAAGATCCCACAATATTTCAATTTTTAAATTAAATCCTCAACCAATTGGATGGCCTACACAGAATTAGTATACAACATCCAGAGTCATCACTAAAACTCACAAGATCAAGATAAGATTGGTCAACAACTTAAACATGACACTCACAAATTACCGCATTGGGGAATAGCAGTACTACTTGATGTTTAGCATGTTCAACATTCATGCAAATGGCCATAAGCAATAGATGAGTCCATAAAAGATGCAAGGAAGGATGAAGTCACTTTATTGTGACAGAAATAGTACCCTCACATCAAATAGTAAGTATCAATGGAGAAAACTTCTAATAAATACGAGAATGTTACCCTCAGAAGCATCGATCCATGGGATGAAGGCTGTAGAATATAAAAGTTCATAAAGCTTCCATTAGTCATAGTCTCTAGGTTACAAGATGATGAACATACAAGCCCCTCATCCAGATAGAAAAGATATTCACAGAGTCCCTGGAAAACTGCACTTTACAGCAAACAGACATAAAACAGATGCAAAAATGCCAAAGAAAAGTAAGAAATCAATATAGCTAACTCACTTTGCACATTCATCTCGTGTTCATTAGAAGCAGCTTCCTTATCATGATACATCGGAGTAACAATATAAGATGTTCCCATAATTACACCTGTTACAATAGAAACAGAGAAAATTTCATTGCTTTTAGAATTTCTTTTCCTTGGAAATAAATACTACATTTTTTTGGGGGAAAAAGAGCAACACAGAGAAATGGTTCACTTTTGATACCCGTGTAGATCTATTAAAGTTCAAAAATATATATTTAAGAACCCAAATACTCAGCAAAAGGTTCCAATGGGAAAATCAAATTAAACACATTTATAACACGTCACAGATGCTACGCGTATATGAGAACTTTTTTGTGAGAGCTATTTCCTTGAAAATATTATATTACATAACCTTCATTTAGAGAGGCCAGGTTTGTGCGTTCAATAACATTTAACGTAATAAGACCACTGATTCTGTGGAGCTCAGATGAACTTCGCAAGGAAGGTATAAACAGCAAAGTATTTCCTCCAACTGTAACGGCATTCCTAATCAGATCAGACTCCCCAAGCTCGGAGGAAGTAATTGGACAAACGTTATTTTTTGTCTTCTTGCAAGCATCGCTGATGGGACATCCATGGCATCTGCACGTCTATTATAAGCTCATCTTAAAAACATGTCTGCCAACTAATTAAAATCATCATAAAAACCTTTTTGAATATAATTTAAATCATTAGCTGTGCCAACAAAATAATATAAGTATGGGAAAGCATGCAAACTATAAGTGAGGCACGGCAGACCAATAAAATAAGTCAGGCACAATTTATTGGTTTAGACCATCTCAGGTTCGTGCTTGCCAAAGATAAAAAAAAAAAGTGCAGAACTTAAATTCCATATCATCACTTATTGTAATGAAAACCTGATTTGCATCTAATAAAGCTATCTACCAAAAATTTTATTTGATGCGGCTATCTATTCGTGTCTCACAGAAACCAGATCTAAAAAATCACAGCCAATTTTTATATTACACGGCTGACAATTCATGAAATATGGCATAGAAATCAGTTATAACCCACAGAAAAAAATCAACAATTTATAATATCATATGAGACGAGAAGAAGAATAAAGTTACAAAATTATGCATAAGAAATTTTCTAACTTAGCATGTCCACGAAATGTACAGTAACCATGTTTAGGTGAAATAGAAATGCATTTGGCTCCTGAAGATTCAAGTATCCAGTCAGCATTCAAAAACTAGTTTGAAGCTTGCAAACCTAGAAAATAATAGAGAAGTGGAGCAGATACCAAAGAAAGCAAACAGAACGCCTGGGAAAAAAAACCCTAATCCCAAATTGAAACTGAAGTTTTGAGAGAACCAATGGAGCACATATTTAGTAATAAGAAATATTTTGCATTTCTTTTTACACTGCCCAATTATGCAACTGCTTCTTTCCTAGCAAGAAAAAAAAATGAGATGCATTTTTTATAGAAAGACGTAAACATACATAAATACAAAGCTTAATAAGATTCTCTAAAAAATGTTTGTAATATATCACATAGTTCACTCAAGATTTTCGTATGACTTGCGATGAAAATGAATAAATTGACAACAAAAAAGGAAACCAATCTGGGTATTGGCATTTTATTTGCAAGTTAACGAGGGTTGGTAAAGCTAAATTGTTTTCTTTAAATTATTACAGATTTAACATTAATTTCAATTATATAACTACTGACGATTAGACTTAATAGTATAGTGCTTACAACTACAAAGCTACCTCTTTGAAGAAGTTCAACTTTTCCTGCTCATTATACAGCCTTGTTAATTACAGAAGATATTTGTTACTGATAAGTTATGCTTGTATGCTCTTTTACCTCACAAGATGCGATTCCATCAGCAATCATAGCAGTGGAAGCAGACAATCTACAAGGTATTTGGTTTGAAGATCCCCAAATGTCATGCTTAAAGACAATGGCAGCGTGCAGTGCTTCTACTTCATTCCGTACATCTTGCAACCACCTCTTAACAAGGCCAGATAGGATCCAAGTGCCTGCGGTAACCGATTTTCATTAAGACATTAGTGATTAGAAGATTCAAGAATAACAGAAGTCACAAAAAATACTTCTAGTCACTAAAGATTATTGCATAAAAGAATCTAACATATACAAGCCCGACGAAATGAACTATTGGAATTGATGGGGACATCAGAGCATGAATCGTATATCAGAGACGTGGCCGTCGATCTACGGCCACGATCTCGTCGATGTATTTTGTGTTATTTCATGTATTTGTTTTATTATGTTATTTGTCTTTTATTATTTATGTTGTAATTGTTTTTCCATTTTTACCATTTACTTAAAGGGAGGTCGTATGTAAGCCCTGAGGGCATTGTTGTCTTTTTATTTTGAGTCTTATGTACAAGGTTATTTATAGCCCATATGTTCTCTTTGAAAATTAATGAATGAATGATTGATAAAATTTTCCCCTTGCTAGATTTCATTGAGAGATCTTGAGAGTGTTTGAGAGATGAATCCCTAGAAGAGGGAAAACGGATCACCCACCAACCTTGGAGACGGCCGAGTTCGTGGTTCTACCTTCTCTATCGTTTTTTCCTCCTTCCTCCCTCAACTAGCCGCCGGTTTTGAAATCCCTCCCCACCTCTTTAAGCTGACGGCCACCATCCAACCTTCACTCACCACCGGATAACCCCAATTCCTTCTCCAACCTCACCCGACCAACCTAATGTCACCTTCACCCCACCGAAATTTCTCCTTCCAAGAACACCTAGCCACTGGCCTCATCACCCTCCTCCTCCCTCCAAAATTCAAATCACACCTTGAATTCTTTCCATAATTATCTCCTCTTAATTTGGAAAGGTTTAATTTCAAATTTCAAAGCAATTTGAATTTGAAATTTCTTTCCTAATTTAAGATGCCTAGTTTTGGAAAGTTCCTAAATTAAGTTCAATTTGAATTTTGAATTGAATTGGATTGAAGATCCCTCCTTCCTAATTTGATTTTCCAAATCAAGGAAAAGTAATTGCTTTCCCTCAAACCCCTTCCCTCTTTGGATGCCGCCGGCCTCTACATGGTCCCCACCTCTTTATTTCTTTCCAAACTCAAGTCCCCTCTTTAGGAATTAAATTACCCATCCTCTCTACCTTACCCGACTCCCCTCTCCTCCCCTTAGGCTAATCAAACTCTTTCCAAATCAAAGAACCTTGATTGGGAAAGTGATTTCAGCCTTCCCTCCCAATTTTCCCCCTTTCAAACTCTAAACCTGATTCCCAAATTATGTACCTAACTCTTCTTCAAACTTCATCCATTGGCCGACCATCCTCCTCTTGCCTTCTCCTACTTGAATTGTTAAAGGAAGCCCCTCTTTCTCGAAGGACTCTTCAAGGCGAGCAAAGGATCGATATATTCAACATTTCGACGCTTGAAAGAGATCTCTTCTCCTCCAATTGAACCTTCACGAGAAACTACGACAGACTTCGTCAACACATCGCCTACTTGTCTCCGGATTTTGATGAGGGTGAACTTCTTCCCCTTTTTATTTACTTTTCTAATCACCCTAATCTTGTAGGTGATGGATATTCACAAGGAGCCGAGCTTCACCTTTGCCTAAGCTTAGTAAACGTAGGATTTTGTTTCGCCATTGCCAAAGCTTAGTAAACGTAGGATTGAGTGCATGTTATTTGCTTCTAATCTTATTGTTAGATTAGGGCTGTTGAAGGCTATTCTATTTGCATGACTTTATTTTCTATATTGTATTGATAATCCAAGTGCTTAGTGTGCAACTTAGCCTAAACGGAAATTACCACTCTTATGTTTTATTTGATCATTTTAATTTGCTAATAGTTCTAATCTTAATTGCTCTTATCAAGAAATTGTGCAAATTCTTTTACATTCATTTTAAGCATTTAGTTCTACATCAGGAATACTTAACAACAGCTTCATTGATGGTTTTTTTGGAAGATTTCTGACCATAAGTTATGCATGGAATTTCAAAGAGAAATAGGTCAATGAGAAAAACCAACCAAAATTATGCACTAAATGATGATAGAAAATTTTGATATCATTTAAAAATGTAGCCTGTTTGTTTCTATTGATATAGTACCAGCAATATGCCTATAAATAACACAGTTCTGATGCTGGTCGAAGATTTCATCGAATCTGCTGAGCTTTTGGGAATATCCATTATCCAGAATGGCCTCCTCTTCCAGCACGACAAACTCAATTGAAACTTGCTTGGTGACTGCATCCTATTGTCAGAAGAAATGCAAGCACAGACTCAGCAAAATTGTATCAAGTAATAAATCCAGAGATCAAGATAATTATTGGAAACATCAAATAGAGATAAAAACACATCTTGCATACCGTGGAAATATTCTGAAGAGAATCAGAGCTTATGAAAAAAGAGGTAGCAGTTACAATCACTTTCTTTAGTATATCTTTACCATCCCATACATAAAAGAATTCATCTCTCAAAAGCTTTCTGATTGAAAGTTCAACTAGAAGTAGAAATGTCAATGACAAAAAGAGCATGCTGATCTAATAGTTTTCATTTCAGGATATATTCAAGAAGTCTATTTGATTTAGTTTCTGCTACCTTCATTATCATATGTTGTAGGCACACACGCGCTACATTCTGTTGGAAAATTCATGGGCAAATTATTGACAGCTTGATGGAAATCACGAAGACTGAAGTTTTCTCCAGGCTTATATGCTATCTTCAGCTGCACGTAAATAGTAGAACATGAGCACAAACATTCATAATGAACAAATGAGATTTATTGTATATATTAAATTAAGTTCATCAAATGTCATGCCGCCCAAGGGTGGAACCAGGAAGAGCTTAGGGTGGGCAATTTCCCACCCTAAAATTTTTTGTTTCCTTAAAAAAAAAATATTTTAATTATTTTACCCATCTTCACTAAATACTATTGTCCAAATTCTAAAAAAAAAAAAATTACTTTTCTATTTATACTTAAGATTATGTATTTCACAACCTATTTTGCTCACCCTCAAAAGAGAAGCTAGTTCCTCCTCTGATGCCACCCAAGGGTAAACTGCAATCACTAAAACTCAAAAGCAAATCAGGCCAATCCAAATATAAAAAAAGGCTTATTTATTCAGCTACCAGAGATATCAAGCATACTACAAACAGCCAATTCATTTATGAACATTTTGCAACTTCAGATTTTTTTAATATTTCAACTCAAGTACATATCATAGGATACCAACCTTCCAAATGCCACACTAAGGCCATGTTTGAATTTAATTTATTTCTAGTTCATTTTAAATTTTATTTATTAACTAAAAACAAAAATTTGTTCGGATGTAATAATTATTACCAATTTCAGAAATAAAGAAAACAAGTTTGGAAATAAAAATTGAAATTTTGCTCATATTTTATCGATAATAAATCCCATCAAAGTATTGATTATCCTAATCGAATCTTATTTATGCACAAATTAATCTAAGTTAAGTTCATCATACTAATTAATCTTAGTTCCAACATTCACAAAACAATCAATCGTCAGACTCGATCCTTAGTAGGCCTACAGAGTTGCCAAGATTTAAACAATCAAATATGAATAATTCTCATCCCCGATGATGACCATGTTGAAAGTGAACCTGAACCGGAGAGGATTCTACCTTTTAAATGTCTCTAGGTATTGACAAAATATATAAACCTGTTTAAAATAATTTTATCGTCACCTCGATGATAGTCGTGTTGAATATTAATCTCAACTAGAGGGGTTAATCTTCAAAATTTATTAGAATTTTAAAATTTTAAATCTATTTGAATTTTTAATAATTAAGAATAAAATTTAATCATCTAAATCTTAAAGCAAAACTTATTCACATTGCAACTATTTGGTGAGGGGGATATATTCAAGAGTTACTTTAACTCTCAAAGAGTGAGTATTTAATCAAGAATATCACTAAGATTTATTCTCAAATAATGTCTTGTCAATAAGAATGTGGCATGTGTCCTCTAATTTAGTGACTTAGTTGAATGACTTTATTATATTACAGTTATGATTAGAGCCCGTATGTTCCCCAATGGCTAGTGCCCTTGATTAATCAATCATCGGTATAATCGACAGGGCATAAAAGCCCTCTGTAAGCTACAGTCAACTTGGATTCATTTCTTAGGCAAACATTCACCTCATCTCTACAAGGTACCATTATATATGTGTGTGTGTGATTTAGTAAGAATGACACTGCCTGCCTTTTACCAAAACCTTTAAAAGAGCATAGCCCTTTATCCTCCTGCTATTTTGGAAATGTAGACCCCAAGAACTCATTTATAACTCACTATTTAACTTCATGATGAAAAATGTTGCTTCTCCACACATTGCAAGCCATTAAGAACCTTTCACTAAGTTATTAAACTTCCAAATTGCTACAGGTATTATTATTTTGTTGACTTCTCCAAAAAAATAAATAAATGAAAACAGATTCTATTAAATGCAACAAATTCCTCTGCTATACAAAATAGCCTCAAATTATGGTAGAGCATCTTTTTTCTTTTTTTAACCTTTAATAGTGAGTCAAAAATCGCAAAATGTTTCCCAAATTTGTGACTCGAAGAAATAATTCTCCTAAAACACTTAAGCCAAAATCCTTTCATTGAGAACAACATATCCATTTCAAAATTTTCCAAGGAAATTGCTATTTTAAATGGCAAAAAAAAAAAAAACAACTGTAACTAGGTCGCAGTAAATGTGCATGACAGAAGACAAGATTCAATTTAACTAACAATTTTTTGTGACACATCACCAAAAATAGCCTCAATTGGGCATGAATCTCAATACAAATCTGAATAGGAAACTTCCAAAATTAAATTCAGACCATCTATCTGATTTTAGTAAACTTGCAATTGAACTAAACGTCTCGACCAAATGAACCAATTGTCACCAAATTTAGTCTAATTCGAGCTCGAATGAGCCCAAATCAAAGGATCAAAGCCTACTTGAAAATTTAAAGCATTAATTGGATGACCAAACGATATACAAATATGACATGCTTATATTTAAATCGAGCGGCTCGACGAGACGAATCCAACGAGCTCAAGATCGCCAAATTCTGACATCATTAAAATGCTTAAATGCTCAATAAGTACTCTATAATCAAGGGAATCACCATGGCCGTTTGATAGAACAGTCTCAATCTACCATGGATCTTCTCCATATTTATTGAGGATGTCACACTAAAAAAATTATAAATAACCTCCCATTCTTCACAGAAAGAAGAGGGAAAAGGAGGAAGAAGGAAATAAGAGCTAGGAGGTTTAAAGAATCCTGGAGCTCCACCCCGACACTACCACAAACGAATCTGCGCTACCTGGTATCTACTGCTAAATCTCCCTCTGACCATCGTCATCAAACCTCCATCTAGCAGCCATTGACGAGCCTTCCTCCACCGTCGCCTGATTACGGCCCTTCCGGCCATCGTTGTTAGACTACGATCCCTTCAACCATCGTCGCCTTACTACTATCCTTTTGACCTATGTCGCATGTCCACTACGGTCCCTCCAACCACCGTCGCTCGATTATGGCCCTTCCAACGTCCATCGCTGGTCAACTATGGTCCTTCCGACCGCCGTCGCCAGATTATGATCCTTCCAACCTCCGCTCGCTGATTGTTGTCCCTCAGACTACCGTCGCCCGACTGCGGCCCTACCAACCAAATGAATAGCATAACACTCTCTTGAGAATAGTTCTTGTGACATTGGTTTCTTCTAGCCCGAACCATGTAAAGTATTTTATACAATGTGTATTAGACACATTGAGCCATTGCCTTCCCCCGAGGAAGGACATCATTTGTAATCACTACAAACACTAGTGGATTCATTAAAATTGGCAAGGCGCCGTGGTTTTTTCTCCTTATTAGATGTTTCCACATAAAAAATCTGGTGTCTCTTATGAACGCTGCAACCCTCTCTTCCATCTATTTCTATGTTGGATCTTCATATAACATTAAATTCTCTATTTCTCTAAAGACAATTTTTTCAGAATGCAACAATTTGAGAAGTAGCTGCAAGTTAATTCTGCCTAACATTTTGAGAAATAAACCCTATGCAATTACGCACAGTCCGTGAAACATAAATTCCCTACTTCAATTAGGTGTTTCTATTGTACGGAGCGCTGCCATTCAAAATAATGCACAATAACTAACGCAGGATGTTGGGGGCAGATAATTCGTCTCACACCAGTGCTTACTAAGCATTTCATCCAACTGGTCTATTCATGGCGCTATTTCTTCCCAACTCTCAAGTTCCAGTTTGTATTGGTCGGTTTCTAGTCTAAAATTTGAATCGTATCATTCGTGTATCTTAACTAACAAATATCAGTTAACCTTAAGAGGAGAACCGCAAAAACTCTTCACGGCAATGCAGTCTTGTAGCTAAATAAAAACGACGAGTAACGAAGTTCGCTAACCACAAACCTCAGAAGAAGATGAACATGAAGATGATTCGTTCCTCTGGATGTAACATAACCCAATCCGATCTGGGAGCACCGTCGTCTCCGCCGTCCGCAACACTCGCTCCATTCCCACATAGCCCACCGCGTAGAGGTCAGCAAGCTGCAGCAAACTCTGCCGCCAGTTTTTGGTTAGGAAAAATCATTGAAGAGTACTAGAAGATGCATTGAATAGATGGATCAAGAGAAACTCAACAATGACAGAGCGAGGTGGAGATCAAAATCAAATAAGAAGAAACTGGAGCAAGGTCGAATCACCTCCTTCAGATCTTTGAGCTGAGCCGAGGAAATGTTTCGAAGATCGAGCAAGAAGCAGAGAAGCATGGCTCTATTTTCGCGGAAGACGAGCCCACCCCCAGCAATCCCCGGACTCATACATTCCTTCAATGCTTTTATAGTAGTTCAGCAATTGGTTTACTCCATCCAAAAGTTCAACACATAATATTTTTTTTAGGGGAAATCAACACATAATATTGACAGAAGGTAAAAATATATATTTTTTTACTTTAATAAAAAAATTAAAGAATTTTATACTCATTAGCATCTACTTTGTATGATTTCTGTTCATAAAATTATTTGGGAGAAAATAATTTTGTTATTATAATCATAAAAAATAATTTTTCATCATAAATTTTTTTAAATATTCAAAAATAATAAGAAAATAATAATCAAATAAAATTATGATTTTTATATAAATATAAAAATGACACAAATTTTATGCTTATATTAATTTAAGGTTGATCAGATAGTTAATAATTTTTTTTTATTGATATATTTATAAGAAATTTTTGTGTTCCTATTTGAAAATTTGCATTAAATGTTCAATATTTATGTATGAGGATATGGTAGCTTACTGGCTTTGATCGTTTTTTATTGGATTTGGGACATAAGAAGGTTTATGAAAAAAAAAAAAAAACAGCTAAAGACTTCCTCATTATTGAAATATTGTAGAGGAGATGGCAATCATAATCTATTGCTTATAATGATTCGATGAAATAGTTTGGGCATATTTTAATGGATTCAATATTTTGCGCAAAAAAAAAAAGTTCATTTGAGTCTGTTGTACTTATCTGAAAAGTTGTTATAAGATTATTATTGAAAAAAAAAAAAATAAACCTATTGTAGTATCATACATATTTTTTCATTTAAAATAAAGAACTATCAACATCCATACAAGCAATAATTTTTCTGTAAAAAAATTATTTTATTTTATTTTGACATAAAATAAAATATATTTGATGTCTTAAAAATATATTAATTTTGTTTTATAAAATATTAAATAAGTTAATTTTTTTTTTGGGAATATTAAATAAGTTAATTTAGTGATTGATTACGAATGGAGTAATGAAAATCAGTGATAGATAATTCGCTCAACGACCCGGGTTATTCTACTTTTCTACAATCGCGGGATGGCCTATTCAACAATAGCCAATACGTAGTATGACTCATCGTCGATTTGCATGCCAGAACAAAAAGCTCTGAAGTTCTCAATGTAGAATCAAGATACATCTTCATTGACCATAAATATTTTCATGCTTACACTGGAGCATCATAAAGGAACGTACCTCAGTAACCTATGATGTACAAACATGAACATGATGACACGGATACGACATAACATGAAAAAGGGCATGTCATTTATTGAATATATATGATACAAACACATGTTGAGCATGATATTATATTTTTCATATTTAAAAAATAGTGCATACAAATTAAATAAGTATAATATTCAAAATAATTTAAAAATAATAAATAATTTAACTAGAACTTGTGCTTAAAATGATTAATATTAGGATGTTGAGAGTTGTGCATCAATACATTGTATCAGACATCGAGAAAGAATACGACAATGTTGTTGAGGTCGGACAGTGATGATATGCAGTAAGTATCCAAAGTCGATGTCAAGAGGGTGTCTGTCATAATGTTAAGAGGGTGTTGGTCATCCATGTTAAGATGACGTCGGACATAGATGATCTATTAAGTTGTGGGTGTAGAGATTACTAGCATCAAACATCAATGTCAAGATAGTGTAAAACTTTAATGTTAATATGATTTTGAAATATCGATATGTAACAACATCAAACATCGATGTCGAGACAACATCATGCATTATTGTAAAACCAAAGTCGAGACTCGCAAGAGAGAAATAAAATGAGAATATTGAGTGCAGACGATTGATTTGGTGTTGAGAATAGGAAATAACAAATGTAGTTTTTATATTTTAAATAAATAAAAATTTTAAATACAAAAAATTATATTTAAAAAAATCATAAAGTATTTAAGACTCGGGTGTTGGACGAGCGTGTCCAATTTATATTTAATATTTTTTTAATCAAACGATATGTCCGACATATGTCGAAGGCGTGTCAGACGCATGTCATATCGGGTACATGTTTGATACGTGTCGGACACTGCACAGCTCTTTGGGAAAAATTGTTGGTGCATCACAGCGAGTAACCATAACAGCAACATTTGGTTACATGAAAGTGAAGTGATACAAGAATCAGACATGGCAAGAGCAAATCTCTAAGGATGCAAAACCAGCCATCAGCAATTAGATTAGTCTACTTGTCCCTACAACTTCCAGTTCAAGAAGACGAACAAGAAATCAAAGCTTCTGCCCATCCATACTCAATTCCCAGACGTTTTGTCAGACGACGACTCCACAATCTTCGCATCGCAGCCATTGCTCTCACTTGAGCAAGATGACTCGCATTCGGCCGCAGCTACAATCCCTGAAGAGTATTTTTTAATTCTCAGCGATATCAGAACGCTGGATCCTATCCCAATAAGAGGAAACAAGTACGAAAAAAGATGGGATTTTTTTGAGCCTGTTGTTGAAGACACAGCGGCACCAGCAAGGCTGCCGATAGAAGTATTTTGGAGGATCATAGGCAGGCAACCGATGACAGTAGGGAGGAGGAAATCAATGAAAAAATGGACCTTGGTGGCGGCCAGAGCGTAGTTGATTACATAGGATGGAACAGGTGAAAAGCGAGCCAGAAGAACAAATCTCCAGCCATCGCGTTCTACGCCTTTGGAGAGTAGATTGAAGTATTTGTTTCTTCGTACAAACTCCATTGCAGATTTTGAGCTGCTGAATACTGCCCTGAAAGGAATTTAAAATATTATGGCAATTCATAGCCCAAACTAAAATATCCAACCAATCATGACCCAAATTCGAGATATTATTCCGTACGGAGTCCGGACGGTAAGAATCGTCCAAATCACACTGTGTACAAATGACGCATATAAAAAATTTATACACTCACATGTCCGAACAGTTATTTCCGTCCGGATTCTGCACGGAATAATTTATCCCCAAATTTATGATAATTACAAATGCAGCCGCTTATATAAAGCAGATAAATAAATGTAATCCGTTCATATGAAAAAAAGAGAGTTAAATCATAAGTTTAATTACTGCAAAAATATCGTCACAATGGCATTTCACAAAATTATCCCCTGATAACAATTGTAGGATACTTTATCATAGTCATCATCATTTGATTATCCTAGTTATATGAAATTGAGTAGATAAATCCTCCTCCCTTCAATCATATTCAGTGCTACATGAGGTGCAAATTTTAATTTGTACAAAACTTATTAGACAATTTATGTTGGTTATCTTAGGTATACCAATTTTTCTTCACAATATTTTTATAGTAATTCTATCAAATCCACCTTATTAGTGCCACCTATGGCTTTGTTATGAATGTCAAAACCATCAAAGATTGTGTTTCACCATTTTATCTTCAATAGCTTCCATTCCAAAAACATCTCTACTTGACCACTTCTCATTTTATCCTATTAAATTTTATCATGCATCTATCTTATCATTCTTGTTTATACCACACTCAACTTTTTGTGACTTCTTAGTTGCTCAATGCTTGACTCCATTTACCATATCCCATCTAATTATAATTTTATAAAATTTTCCAACAACTCTCCATGCTATAAGATGGCTCCATCTATATTTGTATTCTTTCTTTTTTTTAATAATAGTTTCAAGTTATTTAAATCCATCATGCCACAATCACTTTTTAACCTACAAATATCAAATTCTACGAGGAACGGTTGACAAGTTGTTGGACAAAAAATTAATTCAACATAGCTTGAGCTCTTGTATTGTCCTAGCCCTGCTCATGCCCAAGAAGAATGAAAATCGACGTATGTGTGTAGACATATTACCGATAAGAATCGTTTCCACAGGCCATGATGACAAGATATGATGGGCAAGTTGGTTAGTTTAGCTATATTCTCTAAATATGATTTGCGGAGTGGGTAACATTAGATTTGCCTTCGATTCACCAATGTGTGGAAAACCGCTTTAAAGATTCAAAAGGGTCATACGAATGGAAAGTCATGCAATTTGGATTATGCAATGTGCCTCACAAATTTATTAGACCCATGAACAAGGTACTCAAATCATATTTGTTCTTATTTTGCATTGTCTATTTTGATTATATATAAATTTATAGTGCTAACCTGAGTGATCATTTAGAACATCTAACTAATATCTTTGGGGATCTTTGTACTCATAAATTTCATCTTAATGTGTCTAAAAACAAGTTTGCATCATCAAGGATCTATTTCCTTTGGTTTATAGTAGCAAAAAATGAAATTTAAATGGACCTAAAGACAGTTTCAGCCGTCCATGAGTGGCAAACATCAGCATCTCTTTCCAACACCAGAGTTTCGACAGATTGGCTAATTTCTATTATAGATTCATAGAGGGCTTAAATGCATTCATGGCCCCAATCACCAATTGCTTGAAATAAAAAACCTTCTATTAGTTTAGCAATCAACAAAAAGCTTTGAGACCATAAGTCCTAAGTTCAGCCCCATGTTGCTCTCCCCAACTTCGACAAGCCTTGCAACATCAATATTGATGCATCCACAATAACAATTTAGTTTGTACTTTCACAAGAGGATTGGCCAATTGAATTCTTCATTGAAAAGCTAAGAGTGGAGAGATAAAAGTGGACTATATACAAACAAAAATTGTATGTCGTAGTTCGAGCCCTTAAGCGGCGGGGACATCATTTGCTTCATGAAAACTTTGTTCTGCGTATCAACGCATGTTTGGTACAATTTCTATAAAAATTTAGCATTGTGCTAAGTACAAGGCTAGAACCCTTAATTGGGTCATGAATGCTCTCAACAGATGGTTTGCCCTCCTCATAATATGTTTATCAACAATATATATTTTTAGATTCAAAGATAGTACAACAACACTGTCAAAAATGGGTGAACAATTTAGAAAATTAGCATCAAGAAAATAAAATATTTGAAGTTTATCATAGAAGAAGAATGAAGCAAATATTTCAAAGATTGAGAGCACTACAACAACTGACTGGCTACAACAACTCGTGGTTCAATTTCTTTTAGCATTAAACTAATATCAAACCAATTTTTAGTTCTTTTTGTTTTTCAGATGTAGAGAGATTAAAAAAAGGAAAAAAAAAAAGAAATCTTATTTCTTAAATTCAATTAAAGTATTTAGGGTCTATTTACAGAGGTTTACGTGAACTGATTTTAGATTTAATAGAGATTCAGACTAACTGGTTTAATACAAGTGAAATAAAAGAATTAAAAATGAGTTTGGGACCGGTTTAATGTTGAAATAAATTGAACAATAAGTTTTTATAGCCGGCTAGTTGTTGCAGTGCTACCAATCTTTGAAATATTTGCTTTCCTCTTCTTTTATGATAGAATTTAAATATTATATTATCTTGATGTTGATTTTATAAATTGTTCACTCATTCTTGACATTGTTGTTGTACTATTTTTGAATTTAAAAGAATATATTATTACTTAACACAATGCTACAAACCAAAGTCATAGTACCGGAGTTATAGAAAGACTCATATAGTAGTGATCCGGACTTCTCCGACCCGTGGCTACAATGCAATTCATCACACCCAATGGAAAATTATTCCATCTGGTATTGATACTCGTTCAAAGGTAATCAATTATATATCTTGGACTCTTCTCTTCATATACAACTCATGAAGGAGGTGCACACAAAGCTCTGATAGCTCATGTCGGGTGCTAGAAGACCCTTTCCTATCTTCAAACTAGTTTCTTTTGGCCCCAATTTCATCTATAATGACACAGTCACACAACCCTAAATAATGGCTTGTATAAACCCATGCCTATCTCAGATTCAATTTGGGAGGATACGAACCAAGATTTCATATTGGGATTGAAACAAAACATGAGAGGAGTTGATTTTATTATGATTGTCATTGATAGATTTTTTTTTTAAATGGCGCACTTTGCTGCTTACAACAAAACTTCCAATGCTTTCAATATAGCCCACCTTTACTTCCACGAGATTGTCTGCCTACATGGACTACCTTAAAGCCTCATTTATGATTGGGATGCCAAATTTGTAAGCTATTTTTGGAGATAGATTTAAAAAGATTTGCAGAAGAAACTCTAGCTGAGCTCGACTAATCACCCTCAAACATATGGGCAAATTGAAGTCATCAATCGCACTCTCAACAATAAATTGCGTTGTTTGGTTCAAGACCATCCAAGACAATGGAGTCAGGTTCATGGGCAAGCTGAATTCACTTACAATTCAATGCCCAAGCTGAATTCACTTACAATTCAATGCCCAACCTTTCTATTGGAAAGTGCCCATTTAACATTGGTTACATTAAAATGCCTAACCACACTATTGACATTGCTATGCTACCAAGGTGCAAAAATAAATTGGTTGAGACAATGGCCAAAGATGTCACCACAGGAGGAGGTGCGCTCCAAAGTAGTAGATTCTAATGCTTTCTACAAGCAAGATGATGACATCCAGCTAGACCAAAAGTGTTTAACCCTGGTGATCTAGTTATGATAAGGCCTTGCAAACAACAATTTGCACCTTGAGCATACTCCAAGCTACGCCCAAAGAAAATTGGACATAACTTTAGCTAAGCATATAAATGACAACGTTTATATCATCAATCTACTACTTGATATACTTACATCCTCTACTTCTAATATCTCTGATATATATGCCTATCATTCTCCTGATGATGCCAGCACTGCAACTCAGTTTACTTGAGATAAGCTTTTCTAAATCAGGGGAGAACTGATGCAACACCAAGCTCCAATGAGGCAACATCATCCTACTACTAACCATAAGATCACTCGTACTATTACAAATTGCATTCTCCATTTTACCAATGCTACAACTTTTCCTCTTATATGTGAATAGGATATTTTCGATTTCTACCTATGTTTGCCCTATTTGGGCTATTTTGTTATTATAGTTGCTGCAGGTAGGGATATATACATGTATACTCTCAATTGAAAGGTTGGTTATCTTCTTAATATTACAGAATACCCAAGTTCCTTGCTTCTTGCTTGTTTGGTTTCTCTGTTTGCCGAGCTTCCATGTTACACTCATCTAAAGAAGTAAAACACTAAAACTATATAAAGAAAACGTGAAAAAGATTCTCAATGATGATGCTATCTATATTTTACCAAATAAAATTTGGCATCCTCAAAGTCCTTAAAAAGAAGTTATGGAAGTGCAACTTGTCAACTAGTTCTAAGTACACATGAAATATAAAATCCAATGGGGACCTTGAGTTAGAAAACATCATAAGTCAAAAATATTTATTCATAATCAGACTAAAACCATCCCAAAATTATATTAACACGGTCAACCGAAAGCATCCCAAGAAGTTATCCCAATAAACTTCCACCTAAGATGTTACTTGTTATCATAGTAAATCTTTGCAAATCTTTTAAGTCCATGAATTTAACTAAGCTCGATAATAATACCGCAAGATAAGCACTCAACCATGAGAAACTAAAACTTCTGAGATGCAAGGCTAATAGTTTTTATTGCCTGTATCCAATATCCCCTTTAATGACCTCCAAAAAACAAATCACAAACTGCCCAATCCAGCCTTAAATTCTATGACACACAGAAAAAACATAGTCTGCATATCACCACTCACTACCCTAAAGGAAACAGCAATCCAACTCTTGCGTTAACCGTTTATTTGATTCATTTAGTTCAAAATTAACTACTAAGTAAGCCATATGGCAACCTCGATCAAGCTGAAAGATTTCTCAATCCGCTATAATATAAGTTATCCCTGTACCCGATATAAACAACACAACTAACAGAGGTGGAATTCCACTTCGTTTAATATTACACACCATAGACAATTGCAGCCCATAATGCAGTTCCTAAAAGCATTATAAACTAAATCATCTCAACTGGAGATCTTTGTTCCTTAGGTTCCAGTTCTTCATCCAACACAGATCACGTTCATAATTTCACAATTTTAGATCGAAATTGCAAAATATTACAAACTGAAAGCAAGTAAAATCGAGGGATCAGTAAACGGTACCGATTAGAACAGAAGCAAACAGATAAGTGATCAAAATACACTGCAGTGCGAAGGCAGTTTAGGGGAGAGCTGCGGCACTTACCGTCCAATCCAGAAGGAGAGGGAGGCGCCCAGGATCTTGGCCCAGAAAACGCAAAGGATAGCAGGGAGGAAGCCGAAGAGTAAGGAAGCGCCGGCCTCAAAGAACACGGCATATGGAAGGCATAGGGCAAGGGTGAGGGTGTGAGCCAGGACGTAAAGTGGGATTGCCCAAAAGCCTAACTTTTCCGAGAGCCCCCGGAAGACTTGCAACGCCGCCTCCCCGTCCCATCCATACCGCCGATTAACACCCACCAATATGGCGACCGCCGCTGCCGCCACAGTCCAAGCAGCTAGTCCCTTCCCCATTTCCGTCTTCGCGCCGCCGCTGCGAGAGTTCTCTCAAATTTCAGCCGGAGTTTGCTCTACCGGCTTCGTCCTCGTCGAAGGGACCGATCTGTGAAAGAAGAATTCTCCACCATTAGATCACGTGATCTACCTCAATTGGCGGTCGGTCGAAGACGGCAGCTTAACGGGCCAGTAAACGGCGGTACGCATCGGACAGAATAAATTGGCAAAATTATTCCAACCGGCAAATGAACCGAACCGGGGGCAGACCAGCCAAGCTTGCTCGACCTTAAAATTATTCCAATGGCTACGGTAGATTGAGAGATTACCATCTTCATATTATATAAAAATTCCTCACACAAGCACATAGATAACTTGAGAAAATGACATGAGGAGAGAGTATTTGTGCGGTGTCTGAAGGCGTCCGAAGGTAAATTCGAACACGACAAATCATCCAATGCATTATATATTAGGTGAAGTGACACATCCCGCACATAATAATTTTCTGACATGAGACACATGACATTTTTATGTGAAAAATTTATAGAAAAAATTATAGAATTTAGTTTAGTTAACATAATTTTATTAATGCTAATAAAAAATATAAAGAGTACTCTTTCATATGATTAAAGAAGATATTGATACACTATAATATACATAATTAAGAAAAAATCTCTTATGGTGAGAATAAGATGAGTCTTGAGATATCATAACGAGATCTAGTGATTGATAAAATGTATTTTAAATATCGGCGATTGACAAATATTCAACATGGATTTCCTTCGAGCGGCAACACCTCTTAAAAGTGCAGACCAATCAAGTGCGAGCCAAGAGGTCTCTAGGGTGGTTACTTCTAAGTCAACCAAGGATTAGTCACACCGCCAAGTGACCTTCAGGAGTGACAGTTGGTGGATGCCCCGTTTCAAAAAAAAAAATAAAAAATTCCAACGCGAGTTATTGATAAGTATCAATTGGTGATCTATAGACACCTTGATCGTTATTCAAATAAGAAAGAAGATTAGCAATTAGGAAGACATGCATCAAATATCAGTAGCTAATAAATATATGTCATTTATTGTTGGCTAGAGTCAAATGATGATCAATAAGGAATGTTAAAATTCATACAACAATAAGTAATCTATTTGGATGTTTCAATAATATTGGAGACCATTAAACCTAAAAGACAAACATCAAATATTGGAAAGAGCTGCTTGAGTAAATAGTATAATTAACAAATTTTGAGTTAGCAAGTTATGCTTTAAAAATTAAAATATTATAAATGTTATCTTTAGTAATGATGAAATAGTTGAATTTTATCTAATAGATATTAATGACAATTCATTGTTAGTATAAATGATAACTTTGGATGAACAATACATTTAAATTTTTTTTTTTTACATTTACTATTGTGTAATGTTGGTATTATAATCAATTTTTTAGTAGATATGTAGATTTTTGCTTTTAATGCTTTAAATGGATGAAATGCAATTTAATTTTTAGTTATAATGAGACTCTTTTTAAGGTTGTAATTATGAATGATGAGTATATTTCATTTTACTTTAATTATAAGGGAGTTGTTGAACAAGTATAATAAGGAGGTGGACTACTCTTTAGTAGGCTTGGAGGGCATAGTTTGGAAGTCAAACTACTTAATCATTCACCTAATATTCATATGTTCAATCACATGAGCAAACTTGATCAATAAGTTTTAAAAGAAGTTTAGGCTTCGTTTAGGAGAGCTTTATAAATGCTTCTTAAAACAATTTTTTAATATAAAAATTAAAAATTTTGTACTAAAAAATTGTTTAAGAAGCAATAAGAAAACCAACAACAACAGCAACAACAAACCTTTGTCCCATTACGTGGGGTCAGCTACATGAATCATTTTTCTCCATTGTCCTATTAAAAGTCAAATTCTCATTTAAATCTAATAAAGAAAGATCATTCCTAATATTTTCTAACCAAGTCTTTTTAGATCTGTCTCTACCTTTCTGAACATAAGTCAAATCTGATACCACTACTTTCCTAACTGGGTCATCGTAAGACCGCCGTTTTATGTGACCAAACCATCTGAGGCGACTCTCTCTAATCTTCTCTTCCATTAGAGCTACTCCAACCTTTTCACGTATATGCTCATTTCGTATCCTATCTCTAAGGGTAAAACCACTCATCCACCTGAGCATGCTCATCTCTGCAACACTTAACTTAGTATTATACTTATCTTTTAATAGCCAACATTCAGCACCATAAAACAAGCAATAAAAAAACCGTCATAAATAAAACCTTAGTTTGTATGTACCACTTTGAAGACAATGAGTAAATAACCTGTCAAAAGTGATAAGGCATCACTATAAACTTTTGAAAAGCCGTTTCAAAAAAAAAAAAAAAAAATCCAACGTGAGTTATTGATAAGTATCAATTGGTGATCTATAGACGCCTTGATTGTTCTTCAAATAAAAAAAGAAGATAAGCGATTAGGAAGACATGCATCAAATATCAGTAGCTAATAAATATATGTCATTTATTGTTGGCTAGAGTCAAATGAAGATCAATAACGAATGTTAAAATTCATACAATAAAAAGTAATCTATTTGGATGTTCTAATAATATTGGAGACCATTAAACCTAAAAGACAAACATCAAATATTAGTTGCCGATAGACAACATAAATATGTTGTTAATAAGTGCCAAGTCATGATCGAACATAAATATGCATTCACCTAATATTCATATGTTCGATCACATGAGTAAACTTGATCGATAAATTTTAAAAGAAGTTTAGGCTTCACTTGAGACAACTTTTTTTATGCTTCTTAAAGTAGTTTTTTAGTATAAAAATTAAAAATTTTGTACTAAAACACTGCTTTAATAAGTAATAAGAAAACCAACAACAACATCAAGCCTTTGACACACTATGTGGGGTCGGCTACATGAATCCTTTTTCTACATTATGTCATGTTAAAAGTTAAATTATTGAATAAATCTAATAAAGAAATATAATTTCTAATATTTTATAACCAAATCTTTTTAGGTCTATCTCTACCTTTTTTAACATAAGTCAAATCTAATACCTCTACTTTCCTAACCTGGTCATCTTAAGACCGCCGTTTTATGTGACCAAACCATCTAAGGCTACTCTCTCTAATCTTCTCTTCCATTGAAGCTACTCCAACCTTTTCACGTATATGCTCATTTCGTATCCTATCTCTAAGGGTAAAACCACTCATCCACCTGAGCATGCTCATCTCTGCAACACTTAACTTAGTATTATACTTATCTTTTAATAGCCAACATTCAGCACCATAAAACAAGCAATAAAAAAACCGTCATAAATAAAACCTTAGTTTGTATGTACCACTTTGAAGACAATGAGTAAATAACCTGTCAAAAGTGATAAGGCATCACTATAAACTTTTGAAAAGCATGGACCTAAATGAAAAGTGCCCTAAAATGCTAAACCTCCACAACCATGTTGTATGCCCTACACCATATTTATTTGTACAACTTATTCCTAATGCAAGCTAAGGGGGGAAAAAAAAGCCGTTTTCTAACATTAGAAGCTTTTTCTTTTCCCAAATACTACACTGAAAATAGCCTCCAGCATTGAATAACCATACTTGAAATTTCCTATAGCTTCAAACTATATCCAATTCCAAACTTGCAGGACTTATAGATCCAAATTTCTGTCCCCACTGAAAATAAGAATGAATAATCCAGCAAGCTGTAAAACAGATGAAGATAGCAGGCAATGCGAAAGCTAAGCAAGGAATGTGTTCAACTGCTATTTTCCTATTTTCAAGAGCTTTTTTTGTATGAAAGCCATTCAAGATAACCCAGAAAACTGTTTATCTTAAAAGAAAGAGCAGTGGGGAAAAATGATAACAGAATCATAAGATGTAAAATATAGCAACACAAGCCCAAATTTTAGCAATTAGGGATCCATTCATGCCGGTTCATAAGAAGAAAGAGATCAAGTTCTAAGGTGCAATCCATATCATTTTGATGTGATAGAATTAAGCTTCGTTTGGGATAGTTTTCTTCTTACTTTCTAAAGTAGCTTTTTAGTATATAATTTTCTTGAACTTGAATTTTTTATACTACAAAGCTGCTTTAAGTAATAAGAAAGCCGTAAATCTTAATGTATAAGCTGCAACAGAATATACATTTTTAAGAAGAAATGCACAAAAAGCATTGTAAGAAAATTGATGTAGTCAAACGGTTAATGATATGCATATTCCTAATATTCTAAACCAAAGCACATACTAAAACCACATTGATGGGACGATCAAATAACAAAATCTGGAAAGGAGATGTCCAAAATGCAAAGAATAATTATCACTACTTGTCAATCATTATGTTCTTCATATTAGTCAACTCAACCAAATTTTCATGGATGGTACCCGTCAAGTAAATGCAATCACTAGCCTACCTAGAGTGGGTAATTTTATTCGAAATTTGAAACTTGCATGATATTGCTTGAATTTTAACAGGCTTGAAATCAAAATCAATATACTCTTGCTCGAAGATAACTTGCTCGAAATAAGTTACATTTAACTTGAAATAACATTAATATACGAAATATGCTCATATATTTATAATTTATTCATTATTACATAGCACATAAATAGTACACACGCACATCATTTATATTTAATATATTTGATAATATTTATTTAGAAATAAAATTTGAGTACATTAATACATATAATTATTTTGATTAGTAATTAAATTTTTTCATAAAATTACACAACAACAACAACAAGCCTTTATCCTACTATGTGGGGTAAGCTACATCAATCCTTTTTCTTCATTGTGTCCAATTAAGAATCAAATTCTCATTTAAATCTAATAAATGAAGGTCATTTCTAATATTTTCTAATAAAGTCTTTGTAGGTCTAACTCTAACTTCTTAGCATAAGTCAAATCTAATGCATCTACTTTTCTAACCAAGTCATGGGAAGGCTACCGCTTTATGTGACCAAACCATCTAAGGCGACTCTCTCTATTCTTATCTTCCACTGGAGCTACTCCAACCTATTCATATATATGCTCATTTCATATCTTGTCTCTAAGAGCAAAGCCACTCATCCACCTAAGCATCCTCATCTCTGCAAAATATGATAAAATTGCTAAATGACA